CTACCTCCAGATACATTCATTGTAAAAAGAATTGGTCCAACCACTTTTGCTTATGCTGTTCAAGCCATACAGTTTTTATTGCATATCCTTTTTCATATGTACCTCCCTCCTACCTAGAATGGAAAAAAACAATATCAACCATGGAAAGGAACATGCAGGAAACAAGCTTTAAATGCCCTTCCTATTATTAACATCAAATGCATCTTAAAATATTATAATTTACATATATTCATTTAAAAAAGCCAAAATCTATTACAGAATACACACAAGAGCCCCAAAATCGAGAGTTCTTATTGGCATACCCCGACCAGTTACCATTCTTGTGAGCTCAATCCCGCCCCCTCCTGTGCCTCACTACTGGTCAGGGAGGCCGCCTATTATTCTTGCAGGACAACAGAAAGGCCAGAGCTTTCAACACAGATTTGCATATTATTGAAGATTTGCATGAAAGTGCACCTAAGATCAGGAACGCTAAGTCCTTGCTTAGACCTTCTATCTCACAAGCTTTGGTCCCTTTCAATGTAAACATCAACTTACTTTTGTAAAGTTAAGTTTGACCCCGTGCACCTCAATATTAGTCAGTCTTTATCATTGTCAGGGGGTAACAGATAAGCAGAGGAGGTGGGCCAAGATCATTTTTACAAAAGAGAGCTGGTATTTACCTGCTCCTACCTGAAGCTATCCTTAAGCCGGTCAAACATGGGTTGAATTCCAAAATAATTTTCTTTCTAAAACATTTTCTAAGAATTTTCTTTCAAATTTTGCACCATTAGTGGGCCACAGAAACGGCTCCACCCAAATGGGGAAGCTCTGCTTTAAGCCTTTGTCCCCCGCTCCCCATCAAGGATTGGCACCTTTGGGGAGCAGGGGTAGGGGAGCGGTTACCCCAATTTGACAGGTACCCGCTCCCACTTATGCTGCGATCGCCTAGGCGATCGGAAGCAGAAGATGTCCCCCCCCCCTCTCCCCACAGTCTTCTGGGACAAGTGACGGGTCCCATAATACTACGAGGCCATTCACAAAGCGCAGCGCTTCTCGCGTGTGGGGAGTGGGCACCCAGCTGTGAGGCCACAAGCTGTCACAGTCAGGTGGCTATACTGAAGATTCCGGCATCGGGGAGAGAAGACAGCCAGTGAAACCAGCGGTGGTGAGGACACTGCTGGACCAAGGGACAAGCAAGTGGCTGTATTTTAAAAGTCAGCAGCTACAGTTTTTGTAGCTGCTGACTTTTTTTTATTTTTTTTAGCTGGAACTCCGCTTTAAGTGATTAGGCATGTTAGAAATTTTTTTAAAAACAAGTACATTTCTAGTCAATGATGGGAGAATTGTGCAAAAAAATATAATTGAAAAAGAAATGAGCATGAGCTGTGACCGGTAAAAAGAAAATTGTTGACCACAAAAATTCTTTTTTGTAGCAATATGAGGTGCAACTGGAGGCTTGGTTGGTCGAATTCAAAATCAACGGTGACACCATCGGGTTACAAAACACACAAAATTTCAAGCCATACAGTTTTTATTGCATATCCTTTTTCATATGTACCTCCCTCCTACCTAGAATGGAAAAAAAACAATATCAACCATGGAAAGGAACATGCAGGAAACAAGCTTTAAATGCCCTTCCTATTATTAACATCAAATGCATCTTAAAATATTATAATTTACATATATTCATTTAAAAAAGCCAAAATCTATTACAGAATACACACAAGAGCCCCAAAATCGAGAGTTCTTATTGGCATACCCCGACCAGTTACCATTCTTGTGAGCTCAATCCCGCCCCCTCCTGTGCCTCACTACTGGTCAGGGAGGCCGCCTATTATTCTTGCAGGACAACAGAAAGGCCAGAGCTTTCAACACAGATTTGCATATTATTGAAGATTTGCATGAAAGTGCACCTAAGATCAGGAACGCTAAGTCCTTGCTTAGACCTTCTATCTCACAAGCTTTGGTCCCTTTCAATGTAAACATCAACTTACTTTTGTAAAGTTAAGTTTGACCCCGTGCACCTCAATATTAGTCAGTCTTTATCATTGTCAGGGGGTAACAGATAAGCAGAGGAGGTGGGCCAAGATCATTTTTACAAAAGAGAGCTGGTATTTACCTGCTCCTACCTGAAGCTATCCTTAAGCCGGTCAAACATGGGTTGAATTCCAAAATAATTTTCTTTCTAAAACATTTTCTAAGAATTTTCTTTCAAATTTTGCACCATTAGTGGGCCACAGAAACGGCTCCACCCAAATGGGGAAGCTCTGCTTTAAGCCTTTGTCCCCCGCTCCCCATCAAGGATTGGCACCTTTGGGGAGCAGGGGTAGGGGAGCGGTTACCCCAATTTGACAGGTACCCGCTCCCACTTATGCTGCGATCGCCTAGGCGATCGGAAGCAGAAGATGTCCCCCCCCCCCTCTCCCCACAGTCTTCTGGGACAAGTGACGGGTCCCATAATACTACGAGGCCATTCACAAAGCGCAGCGCTTCTCGCGTGTGTGGGGAGTGGGCACCCAGCTGTGAGGCCACAAGCTGTCACAGTCAGGTGGCTATACTGAAGATTCCGGCATCGGGGAGAGAAGACAGCCAGTGAAACCAGCGGTGGTGAGGACACTGCTGGACCAAGGGACAAGCAAGTGGCTGTATTTTAAAAGTCAGCAGCTACAGTTTTTGTAGCTGCTGACTTTTTTTTATTTTTTTTTTTTAGCTGGAACTCCGCTTTAAGTGATTAGGCATGTTAGAAATTTTTTTAAAAACAAGTACATTTCTAGTCAATGATGGGAGAATTGTGCAAAAAAATATAATTGAAAAAGAAATGAGCATGAGCTGTGACCGGTAAAAAGAAAATTGTTGACCACAAAAATTCTTTTTTGTAGCAATATGAGGTGCAACTGGAGGCTTGGTTGGTCGAATTTCAAAATCAACGGTGACACCATCGGGTTACAAAACACACAAAATTTCTGATTTCTAAAGAAAATTTGTTCAGAATTCGACCAATGTATGGCTTGCATTACGCTATGCAAATTTCAGCTGGTTCCTGACAAACAATCCGAAATTCCTTCTGCAGGTGGCTTTGTCACCGCCCTCAAATCTGACATTTGATTAAAAAAAAAGGAAATAAAAAAAAAAAATCAAAGGAGTCAAACGGCAAACTGGTGCAAACAGCAGCTTCATTCAATCAGATGCAGCTGCTGTTTGGTCATTCTGACAGCTGCTAGTGCCAGATGACAGAATATGCAATACCAGTGCAGATATCTCCATCTCTACTGTATAACGGGGATGAAGGAATTTGAAAGATTTTTTTCCCTTTCAGCTCACAGGCTAAAATATGTATACAGCCAGCTTTTGGGTGCTCCCAGGAAACCCTAAACATATATGCAGGTACAGGCAGGAACCTGCACTTAGGGCCAGTTCACACCAAATACAATCCAGTACATTTTTTTTCTGCATAAAAAGTGCATGGATAGTAGGTTATATACAGTAGGTTCCAATGGCATAGTTTACAACAATACGTTCCAGTACAGAAAAAAAAAAAGAACATGCTGCATTTTTTCTGTACCAACCTGTACTGGAATGCAGCAAAACATATCAAATATGCACTGGAATGCATGTGGCTCCTTACCTCTTCTTCTGGGGTCCCTGTTTGTTTTGTCCACCCCTTATTTCCACCCTGTGCCCCCTTAGCAAGCCTGTGCTATGGGCTCACAAGAGGGCGCACTCCTGAGTTGGGCTGTGTGCATCCATAGATACACAGTGTAGCTCAGCCCCACCCCCCCACAGGATTTGACTGACAGCAACAGCAGCCAATGACTCCCATTGCTTTCAGTCTGTCCTATAAGAGCAGGAAGAGATATCAGCACTGCTACAGAAAGGCACAGTACTGGATCGAAAGAGGGCCGGTAGTTTATTTTGGGGGGGGGGGGGACGGGCAGCAACTGCAAGCTTTGTTAACTCAATGCAGGCAATTAAGGTAAAAGAAAACATTTTGACTTTAGAACTACTTTAAAGCGTAACTCAAAGCAAACATAAATATTCTACTGAAATACACATATGGGAATGGTTATATCTGTCAAAGGATTTGTAAATCTCCATCCAGCCCTGAGATTTACAAAGCTATTCTAGACAGCACAGCCAGGCCAATGACCTGACATTTCTTTAGATCAGTTATGCAGAGCAGATTGGTCACCTCTCAGCAGCAGAATAATAAAGTCATCTCTCTCCCCCTATTAGCACATGCGTATGCAGCCGGACTGAATCCTAGTGCTGACCTCCCCTCTTCCAGGGTTCTGTTGTACAGACAATTACTAATAAGAGGCCAATACCAAGACAAAATAAAGCACTAGCCGCAATGAAAAAGGAAATAAACATTTTAAGTTAAATATATAACTGCATTATAATGTACTATTTGTTTATCTGCCTGACCTTGGTTTTTATCATGATATCAGCATTAAGTAAATCTAAACACTAAATAAATGACCAAGCAATAGGTATATGCGAGCGCTAATATAAAATGACAGCAGCTTGGACACTTAAAGGTACCACAGAACCCTTGGAATAAATAGTATACAGAAAATAGTGCAGCGCTGTGTATCGAAAAGTATTCACATAAATACAAAAATGTTATGAATATAATTACAGACAATGGTATATTACCACATGTGGGTGGTTAACCACTAGCCTACAGGGCACTCATACCCCCTTCCTGCCCAGGCCAATTTCCAGCTTTCAGCGCTGTCACACTTTGAATGACAATTGCGCGGGTCATGCAACACTGTACCCATATGAAATTTTTATCATTTTTTTGAGTCAGATAGAGCTTTCTTTTGGTGGTATTTAATCACCTCTCGGATTTTTAGTTTTTCTTAAACAGACCGAAAACCACTGGAAATTTTGAAAAAAAAAAAAAAAAAAAAAAAAAAAAAACACGTTTTTTCTTAGTTTTTGTTATACAATTTTGTAAATAAATGATTTTTCTCCTTCACTGATGTGCGCTAATGAGGCTGCAGTGATGGGCACTGATGGACACTGATAGGTGGCACTGATGAGGAGGCACGGGTAGGTTGCACTGATAGGCATTGACAGGCATCACTGATGGGCACTGAAAGGCAGCACTGATACATGACACTGATACATGACACTGATATATGGCACTGACTGGCGGCACTGTTAGGCGGCACTGACTGGCACTGATAGGCGGCACTGACTGGCACTGATAGGCGGCACTGACTGGCACTGATGGGTGACATTGATAGGCAGCTCAGATGGGCACTGATATGTGGCATTGATGTGCACTGGTATGTGGCATTGATGTGGCACTGGCACGTGGCACTGATGAGCACTGACAGGTGGCACTCCTGGGGCCACACTGATCATCAGTGCCCTGATGATCAGTGTACATGTCCCCTCCACGGAAAGCCGATTACCGGCTCTCCTCTCGAGATGTCAGCGTGACAGCTTGAGAGGAGAGAAATGCTGATACCCGACATTTCCGTGTTTTACATGTGATCAGCTGTGATTGGACACAGCTGATCACATGACCGAGCCGACATCTTCGGCTCTTTCCGTGATCCGCTGTGTCCGAGGGACACAGATTCCTGTGTTTAGATGCATTAAGTTTAGCTGTTTCTCAGTGCGCTCAGAAATTGAGCCTGCTGCCAGTCAGGCATCTGGGTGGATCCTCATATTATTGTCGGGATCCCTCCAAAGTCTGAAGCAGGTCTGTGAGGTCAGGCCGACAGTGGGCTTTAGCCCACTATTGGCTGATTATGGATCACATGACAGCATTAGTAAGTGCACTTCTGTGACCCACAAGAGCAGTATGGCCAAAAAAGCTTTGGCTATACTTCTCCTATAACACAGGTTCCCTAAAATAAAGTTTTCAGGGCCTGTTCACACTGCTATGCAGCCCATATTGGTGCTTCTCACATAGGGTTTTTGGCTGTAGAGCCGTGCAGTGCACATTTTATCACATCACACAGCTCACCCTTTTTGTTTCAACCTTTTTCTCGAAGTGTACAAACAGACCATTCATGTCATTGTACAGCAGCACAGTTGCTGGGCAGTGACATGCAGGACCCAGAAGAACAGTGCAATATTATATAAATGTAACATAATATAGCTCTGCTCTGGAAAGCAGTGCAACACAGTTCTGGTGTAAACTTGACACGCAGAAAACTATTGTTTACCATGTGTCATTGCAGTTACCTGTGTTTTGCCCTGATTTCAAACACAGGTGACTGCAGATAGTGTGAATGGGCCCTTAGGCTGTTTTCACACTGCCCCAATGCAAAAACGTGTTAAAAACACATATGCGTTTTTGCTGCATTTCCTGGGTGCCTATTACCCAGCATGCACCTGTGGACATTTAATTTTACAGGTGCACCTATGGACTTTTAATTTTACAGGTATAAAAAAAGGGATGTTAGCATGGTGGTACTACACACAGTAGTAAGTGTGTCCTATTACTGATAAGCAACACACATAACGCGGACCAGTCCAGAGACTGGTAATCAAGATGGCAGACAACAATGTTAGTGAGTGCATGAAACAGCATGTGGTGATGAAGTTTCTTGTGAACGAAGGTGAAAAACCCGTGGATATCTACAGAAGACTTCAAGCACAGTACAATGATGAAATGCTCAGCTGCAGTAAGACATATGAATGGTGTAAACGTTTCAAAGATGGCCATACGTCTTTGAGTGATGATCTCGGCCGTGGTGGTTCCCAGCCCACAGAAGCTATTCCTGTGAACATTCAGCATGTGGAACGCCTGATCCTGGATAATCAATGCATAACCTGCCATGAAATTTCACAAGAGACAAATCTTTCTGTGGGAATGGTGAACACAATGATGATTACGTGAAGCAGGCTGTCCTACAATGGTTCAGGCGTACTGACAAATCTCTTTGTTTGCCGAAGTTTTGCAGGCATTAGTTAAACTCTGGGTTAAGTGTATAAATGTACCAGGGGAGTGTGTCGAAAAATAAATGCAGTTTCTACTCCTTGAAATTTGTTTTTTTATTACTTGAACTCAAAGGTCCCGGTTTGACTTGAACACCCCTCTTAATTCATTGGGGACTTGTTTTTTTTAGTGTGGTTTTGAACACTGCACCAAACATGCAGCATGCATGACATTTCAAAATGCACTGAAGAGTGAAGAGTCTAATAGGGCTTAAAGAGATTGGGTTTTTGCTGTATTTTTAGCAAGGTAAAAACACAACAAAAACACATCAGTGTGAAAGCTGCCTTAAAGTATAAAGGCAAAACCTTTTTTTAGTTTTGGATAGATTGGATATGGATTAGAACCCCTTTCAGTTTTTATTGCTGTCTGCACCCCCATTAAGAAGATTCACCCTCTCTATTTGTCTTGTTTAACATTATCACTGAAAGAAAATCCCAAATTTTGGGTTTTCCCCAGAAAAGAAATAAATCTTCCTTGGACGCCCTCCCAGAACTAGCCGACCGCGCTGTAGTCATCTTTTGGCTATAGCGCGGTCGGGAACTGGTTAATTTGCAGGGATTTGCTCTCCCTTCCTGTTTGGCTATGGGACAGGAATTGAAGGGAAATTTCTGCAATGGGACACAGCTGGTGGAAAAAAAAATCTGACAGAGGTTGTAACCCTCCCTTGTTTTATTCTAAAAGGAAAAAAAAAATCCCTATAGTTCTACTGATGGGCACTGATCAGGCTGCACTGATGATGAATGCCGATTCTCAGTGCAAATGCTCTACTTGCTGTGCCTGACATATTAGCGCTCACACTGTCTCTGTGTAAGCAAAGGAGAGCCAATAAACGGAAAAGGCTGGTTACATTGTGACAGCTGATTGGACACTGCTGATCACACGGTGAAGGGCTGCTGTGATTGGCCCTTTACCTCGATCCGAAGCACACAGCGGTTAAAGAGCACGCCTGATATACGCTCAAGTGTGTCAGTGGTGACAGTGCGCCGCAGGAGGGATCTGTTTATGTTTTTTTTAGGTAAGTCTGTCATAATGTGCTAGTATGTGGTGCATACAAGCACATATGACATAAGCCTGCTACTATCATTTTATTTTCCAATAGTTTTTATTAAGATTTTTCAAGTTACAAACAGTGCAATAGACAAACGTCATGTTATCACAAAATATATGAAATAGCACAAAAGAACACCTGGGTTAACAAACAGCAGACATACCCAAAGAAACTTAAAAATCTATGCAAAAACAATTGGATAATTTAAGCAAAAAAATTCACAGCATTAAGTCCACCAGGTATAGGAGAGTCAGTGGTCATAGCCCTATAAATCACACAGAATGGGCATCAATGAAAACATGACAAATGTTGTAGAACGAATAAAGAGTAGGTTCAACTAGCCCCAGAAAATGGGGAAATAAAAAGTGACAGTAAAAGGTAAGAAAAGGAAGTAAATAAGAACAAGGAAAGAAGAGGGTCAAGTCAGGAAGTATCAAGGCACGGAAATGTATTGAATCCATGGGTTCCATGTTCTATCAAATTTGTCCGTATTATTGTGTAAATACAGGTGAGTCTGTCGTTAATCATGATCCAATTCAATTTATTCTTCACATACTCAAGCGGAATAATTGATCTCTTCCAGTGTTTAGCAATAGTGATTCTTGCTGCTAACATCATATAGGTAAGCATTTTAGGGTTTTGTTGACACTATACTTTATGAAAGAGGGCTGTCTCTGGGGCCCTGCGAACATTCACCCGTCACCATGTAGATAAGGTTAAACATGCGGATCCAAACTCTATTTGCTATCGGACATCGCCACCAGACATGGAACATAGAACCCATCTGGCTGCAATGACGAAAGCACATAGGTGAGGCAGATGAGTGCATCTTCGCAATCTGGGTCAGAACCAGATACCATCGCAATAATGTTTTATAATTTGCCTCAATTAAGGTGGTATTGATGGAAACCTTAGACAATGACAAGGCTATATCTTGCCAATCAGGTAAATCATAGCCATAGATTCATAGGTCCATAGCTTTGATTTCCAGTGTCCGCTCGAACTGGGATGCTCCTATTTCACGGGAGTTGTTGCTTCTTTCTCTGTACCTCCATAAAGCCTTTGATAGCCTAACTTGGGAATATTTACTATTTTGCGAGCTTATGGATTTGGTCCTGCATTTCTTACACTACTAAAATCATTATACAAGACTCCCTCAGCTCAAGTGTCCAGAGGTTACAGATCACCCGTGTTCCCAATTCGACGCAGCACTAGACAAGGTTGTCCACTTTCCCCAATACTTTTTGCAATGGCAATAGAACCCGTAGCTATCCCATCCTGGAATCCACGGGGTTCACTGCGGTCATCAGGAACATAAATGCACTTTCTTTGCTGACAATGTCCTTATGTATGTTACCTCCCCTTTGACCACAATACCTAATCTATTATCTCTGTTGAGCCACTTCTCTGAACTTTCTGGGCTCTCTTTAAACTCTCAGAAAACGACAGCCCTTAACGTTTCGTTACCCTCTGCCATAGAACGACAACTTAGGACTATGTATGACTTTCAATGGGCCCGCAGTTCTCTGCCTTATTTAGGGATTAATTTGACAGATTCAATTGAGTCCCTTTACCAAGCAAACTATCCCCTTCTTGTTCTGGGAGGACGTCATATGACATCCTCCCACTCTAGCTGCGCATGCGTGCCCCCGGGGGCACACGGCGATCGGTGGTGCGCTGTGTCTCTGGGATACAGTGGATCACCAATTGCAGTAAAGAGCTGATGACGTAGGCTCTATCATGTGATCAGCTGTGTCCAATCACAACTGATCACACGTAAATAGGAAATGCCGGTTATCAACAGTCCTCTCCTCATGCTGACAGCGCGTGAGCTGAGGAGAGCCGGTAAGCGGCATTCCTCAGAGGGGACATGTATACTGATGATCAGTGCCCTTATGATCAGTGTAGCCCCATCAATACCACATACCAGTGCACATCAAATACTGTAGCTGCTGACTTTTAAAAAACAGACACTTACCTGTCCCTCTGTCCCACGGTATGTCCCCAAAGCCTATTTCACTGGCCATCTTGGATTCCAGACACCGGCATCTTCAATATGGGCACCCGGCTGTGATAGCTTGCGGCTTCACAGCCGGGTACCCACTGCACATGTGCGAGTAGCGCTACGCTTCATGAATGGTCCTGTAGTGTTCTGGGACCCATCACGTGTCCCAAAGACTACAGGGAGGGAGAACACCTTCCGCTTCCGTTTGCTCAGGTGATCAGACTGGAAGTGGGAGTGGGTACCTGTCAAATTTGGGTACCCGCCCCCAAAAGGTGCTAATCCTTAATGGGGAGCTGGGGAGCAGTCCTTAAAGCGGAACTTCCCCTTTTGGGTAGAGCTCTGCTTTAAGTGCCACCTATCAGTATCAGTGCCACCTATCAGTACCATATATGAGTGCTGCCTTTCAGTGCCCATAAGTGATGCCTGTCAATACCCACCAGTAATGCCCATCAGTGCCGCCTCATTAGCGCACATCAGTGAAGGAGAAAAATTACCTTTTTATAAAGATTTATAACAGAAACTAAGAAAAAAAACTTTTTTCACACATTTCAGTCTTCTTTAGTTTGTTTAGCAACAAATAAAAACCCCAGTGATTAAATACCACCAAAAGAAAGCTCTGTCTCAAAATAATTATAAAAATTTAGTTTGGGTGCAGTGTTGCATGACCGCGCAATTGTCATTCAAAGTGCAATAGCACTGACCCCCGGTTCACATCTATACGGCCATGCGGCCACGTTTTGCACGGGCACGAGAGCCCATTCATTTGAATGCACTCCCGTGCCATGCAGGGAAGTCCCTGCACTTCTTTGGAAATTACAGCCCGCATGGGAACCTCGGTTCCTAGTACGGTTGCATTTTCCAGTGCAGGCAGCGTGCTATTAGAATTAATGGCACCCGCCCATGGGTCTGCATTTCTCTATGCGGGTGGTGCTGCTGCATGGATCTTCGTGCGGATCCGCAGCGTCACAACCCGCACAGATGTGAACCTAGGGTGAAAGCTGAAAATTGGCCTGGGCAGGAGGGAGGTAAAAGTGCCCTGCAGACATGTGGCTAATCTGTGTTGCATTGAGATGCGTTCATACGTGTTCACATGTCTTCTCTGTGTGATAGTATACAAACATGTTGCATAGCAGGCTCATATAAAATGTAGATCTCCTTCAGCAGACGGATCTGTAACGCAGGTTACTGAAAACCTTCATACTTTGTTGCTGGTAATGTGTGTGAATCTGAGACTGCCACAGACAACAGCTGCAGGAACTTCCCCACTACATGCACACACATATATCATACATGTGAGGAGTGTACCGTCTATAATGCAGGAAAACGAGGAAGTTATTATGTATGTGAACATTAGAACTGACAATTCCAGGCTGAAATGAGGTGCCTGTCCTATGGGCACACACACAGTATCCCTCAGTACATCCGGTGTACATTACATTGTAGCCCAGCTCCCTCCATAGACACACACAGGAGGGGTACGGGGTGTATCCTCGGTAATTACCGTACAGCTGGTTGGCTCCTCCCTCCACAGTGCGGACATCCCGGTCCCGGCGGGAAATATGAACATGCAGGAAGTCAGTCACATGACCCACACAGTCCCATGCCGGCTGTACGCTATACACGCCGTGCTCGGACGCCGCATGCGCAGTGTGGCTCGGCTGGCTGTGCTTCAGAACTCGTCTCCACAACCAATGTAAATAAAGCAGTCCCACCGGAGATAGGGAGGGTGTAGTAACATTGTATATAATGACTCCGCCACGGCTGTACACATGACCACTGTATTTCCCTTATTATCAGTGGAGCGTTACACATAAACTTCAACTCACTTTCCTGTTATTTTACTTAAATCCCCTCTTTTTTATGGGTTATCCTTAACCTCCTCGGCAGTAAGATTCTTTCTGATTTTTTGTGCTGAAAGCGGTACCATTTTTTTGCATGGAAATATGTCGTTTTTTATTGTAGGCCTGTAATTTTTAGGAATAACTCTCTGAAATCTGTCCAAACAAGATGCTAGTAAACATCCCGGGTATGATAAAACTTGAAACACGAAATCATAAATTATAATTTAATAAATAATCATAAAAAAATAATAATATATTTAATTCAATAATATAATCAAACCAAAAACACTGAAATTTGAAATACAGAGGCAAATTCGCACATCGCTGAGCAAAGTCGCAAAATCGTTTTCAGTGTCTGATGACGAATTTCCCCATGAATCATCACTGAATTCTGCAAGTGGTTCTGATTTATTATCGCTGTTCTCTAGCCGGTCTACAACCGCTGTTGACATAAAGGGACGCTTTTTGGACGCCATGAATTTTTCTAAGTTTCCAGGCAGAAAGAAAAGTCAAAATGCAGGCAAGGCACAGGACAAAGCAGTAGGGACAAAATATATGTGAAATGCATTGAAACAGCAATGTTTTACTATATAATAATCATTTTTAAAAAAATTACATTTTTTAAAAATTTCAAATTTGCCGCCGGTTCTGGCGCCCGTACGTCCCGACGTCACAGGGATCGGAGCACAGAAGCCGGATACTGGCATCGGCCGGAGGAGATGGCCGGGGACGCTGCAGGGGACACATTGCTGGAGCGAAGGACAAGGTAAGTGCTGCAGGGACTCTCTGAGCAACACCGCATGGTAAGCCCGAGTGTAGCTTGGGGTTACCGCTCTTGGTACTGAAATTTTACCCCCAGCTACATTAGGGAATACCGCCAAGGAGGTTAAAGAGGAACTCCACTTTTGTGGGGGGAAAAAATTAGTAAATAAAAAAGAATGATAGAAAGAACATATACAATTACAACACAAGTTGTCCTGTTATTGTCATTAAAAATTAC